CTGTGACAAATCCCAGGAAGGGGGCTGTAAGTGCACAGTAACCAAGGGTTACCCCCTTCTGGGTTTCAGGTAAGGCTGCTCAGAGAACAGAACAACTGAACTGGGATGGGTTGTTTAGGCTCATGGTGCCTCAGGCGTTTCTGCAGTGTAATGGACTTCAGAGGCACAGCGCAGAGACACTGCAGGAGGAATGGTCACGTCTTTGAAAGACTTTGAAAAATGCTCAGTGCACCTAAAAGTGATCATATGGCTTTCCAACCAGTGGCAGCTGTTCTCTGACATCTCCATCTGTCACCAAACCAGATATTGTTCAGGCACTTAGACTACAGACCTTTGATCATTTCCCTTCGCTCTACTAGGCAGCGATGGCCAGAGAGCTGGCATTAGCCTTGGTTCTGTTACGCACACCCACTGTGAGCTGGGTAAATTACTTAACTGCTTAAACTCACTTTAAGCAATAATAGTACCAACTCATGGCTTAAAGCTTATAAAGCACTTAGCATAAGATTTGCTTATAGTTACTCCCAAACCATTTGTGACTATCATTGCTAATCATTAACTCTTGTGATTGTTTCTTGGTAATAATTTTGATCCTTCACGTCCATTGCCGCTACCAACAGTCTAGTCAAACCCTTCGTCATGTGACCTAACCAGGTGGCTCTCTCTTCTCTAGTTCATTTTGCATCCTTTCAGAATGGGCTTCCTTATAAAACAATGCTTTCATATTCTCCTTTTAAAAACATTATTATTGAAAAAACTTAACAGCTTATATCCTGAAGAACTAAGTTTCCTCCCATGGGAGAATGTCCTAGAAAATTGATAATAAAATAACCTCTAAATGGACTGAAAAAATGACAGTATGTATTCCAAAAAGGTAAACAAATGGCCACTAAACTGGAAAACTTGGCAACCTCACTCTTTATAAGAGAAATACAAATTAAAATTGCCAAAAATATATTTGAGATAGATAAGAAACCTCAAAATTTTTTAAAGATTTTTTTTGTATTTTTGCATACAGAACTGGGGTACAGGCCAGAGGTGCAGGGGTGGTAAGAGGATTCACGAGAGACAGAGTAGGGGCAGAACAGGCAAATTGACAAACTACACTGCTGAGGGGAGCAGAGGGCGGGTCAGGAGAGGTCTGCTGCACCATGTGGATCTCCTCCCGGGTGGGGATAGAACTCCCACTGAAGTGCGGCTGGCTTGTAGTATGTGCTTTAACCTGCTGCACATTCAGGGGGGCCAAATTTCAAAATTTTCATCATACTATCTGTCCAGGATGTGGAAAATAAGCATTTCCTTGCTTTGCTGGGTAATATCCGTTGGTACAATCCCCATGGAAGGTAGTTTGGCATTGCTTATCAGTTATAAAAGCGAATGCTGATTGACTCAAACGGCTTTATCTCTGGAAACCTATACACTTGCACATAATAATGATGTATGTGCAAGATTATTCATTGCAACATTGTTTGTAAAAGGAAAGGACTGGAAACAACCTCCATGTCCACTCATAGGGCGCTGATTGAATAAATATGATACATCTCTTTAAAGGAATACCATGTACTGGGGAAATCTCCAAGATGTATTGTTGAGCGAAAAAGACAAAAGTATAGAACTATGTGTTTAGCATGTTACTTTCTGTATAGGGTTAGGAATAACGTATACACATATAAAACTCTGGTACCCATACTTAACATTAACAGTAATTGTTACCTACTGTGGAATGGGACTGAGTTATTGGGAGAGAGAGTAAAAAGGAATACATTTTACTGCATACAATTTGTAAATATATATAATTTATATATATATTCAATTTGTGAATCATATAAATTGTACCTATTCAAAGGCTTATATCCAACGGCAAAAAGAACTCCTGTTACTCATATAGTAATGCATTAAGCACCTGCTGTATACTAGGACTAGGGATACAAAGTAAAAGTAGTTGTATGGTGGAAGAATTTTAAATTAAATTGCATCAAACTCTGGCTCTGCTTCTCACTAACTGTGGCTCTTGGCACACAGTAGGCATACAACAAATTGTTCTTTGAATAAAATTATGGATGAAGTCCCTGGACCTTTCTGAGGGCTTTCTCCTATAGAAATAGGGATAGAGCTGCCTCTTACCTTACCAGATATTGTGAAGAAACGCTAGACTGTACTCTCAATGCTAATAGTTAATGATGTCTGCCACACCATAGGCACTTTCACATTCTTTGTTTTCTTGAGTCACTCACTCATAAGGAAATGAGTGGGAGGAAAGGACTGTCCGTTTTCTGGTGGTTTTCTTTTTTGTTACCTCCCATGCGGCTCTTAAACAGTGGAAACCTCACATAAAAGAGATGTAACAAAACGAGGCCCTTTTTTCCTTTCCAAATCACCAAACAACCCCAAAATTTGAAATGTATCAGTTATGTTTTCCTCCATCCTCAGTCATCCTGCAAACAACAGATGGTTAGTAACTTTGAAAGTGCCTTGCAGGGGCAACAGTGTATCAGCTGTGTGGAAATGGGCACAGAATAGTATAAAGGGGGCTAGGAGGCTCAGTAGCTGTTCCTAGCATTCTGTCTGTTTTTCTCTGGTGGGCTGCCTGCCTCCCTGTTTGTCTGTGTGGCCTGCTTCAGCATTAAGGCATGTCAGATATACCTAAGGCTCCAAGATTCTTGTTCCCTCTACTACAATCACTAGTGAACCTGCAGGGCCTGAGACAGTTGCACAACAGAGGTGCTGAGGGCATTTTGACAATCAAGAAATGCCAAAGTTACTTTTACTACAGTCCTCAGTGATATCTTTACAGTAGCAGAAAGCCAGGAAATGCATTTCTAAATAATTCAATTTGATATATAATATACCAAGTGGGTATCTGTTTGACATTCACTGCAATAACCAATTTGGGAAAGTCCAACAAAAAATTAATGTAAGGGGCCCTCCCTGGTGGCGCAGCGGGTTAAAGCACTGCACAAAGAACCTTAAGCCACTTCCGCATGAGTTCGATTCCCGCCTGCCCCGGAGGAGACCACATGGCGCGGCAGACCTCTCCTGACCCGCCTGCTGCTCCCCTCAGCAGTGTACTCGTAGATCTGCCTGTTCTGCTCCCCACTCTGTCTCTGGTGAATCCTCTCACCCTCCACATCTCTGGCCTGTACTCCAGTTCTGTACGAAAGTTAAATTTTATGGAGTACATCTTTGTAACCAACATCTGGATCAAGAACTAGATTATTATCAGCACCCAGAGTAATATCTGGACTCTTTCTACCACATTATGTCAAGACACTCAAGATGACCACTGCATTCATCAATATCACACATCTGTTTTGACTACTTTTGAAGTTTCTGTCAACAGAACCATTGTGTCCACCTTTTTACTCATCATCGTAATTGTGAGAGTCTAGCATCTTATTAAGTGTAATGTGATTCATCGTTCTTATTACTATAAACTCTTGTTCACTAATGGGCATTTGAGTTGTTTCTTGAGACTATAAAGAGATGTTATAAACATTTTTGAACTGTTTTTGTGACTATGTACGTATACATGTCTATTTGGAGATCTATATGTGTGTGTGTGTATGTATATATACACCTAGAGATTTCCGGATCACAAGGTTGCATGTTCATTTAGTTTTAGAATATGACAAACAGGTTTCTAAAGTGTTATTGATCTCTAACCATTCTGCTGGATGTGAGGTGAGGGCACATTGTAATTTCAGTTAGCAGTTCTAGGATGATTGATCAATTGAGAACCTTTACAAATGCGTTCATTGGCTTTTTGGAGACATGACTGCTTATCCCCTTTGAGAAAAGCCTGTTGAAAACTTCTGCCTATTTTCAGTTGGATTTTCTGCTTTTTTCATGCTGATTTGTACATGCTTTTTATATGTTGCTGTTACAAGTCCTTTTTTGGATATATGTGCTGGAGTCATGGTTTCTCACTCTGTGGTTTGCCTTCTCATTAATGGTTCTTTGAGGAACAGGTGTTCTTAATCTTCATATCCAACAGTCAGTTTTTTCCTTTATAGCTATTACTACTTGTAGTTAAGAGGTTTTTACCTACCTCATGATAATGAAGATATTTTTGATATTTACTTTGGATAGTTTTATCTTTTACTATTGGGTTGAAAACTCTCCTAGAGCTCACTTTCTGGTATAGTATGTGGCTATTCACGTAGTGCAGCATTACTGAAAAGACAGACTGCCCTTTCCCAATGCCTCCCATCACCATCTTTGACATAAATCAAGTTCCTGTATAATGTAGCTCCGTCGCTGGACTTTATTCTGTTGGTTAGTTTGTCTATCCATTTTGCCACTTACTGTTTCTACAGCTAGCTATCTACAGTGACATCTGATAGTAGGCTCCAGTTTTTCACCTCACCGAGCCACCTAGCACTGAAGTGCATTTCCACCTCTTATGTCCCGCAGGTGTGACTGACTTGCATTTCGGTGGCTTGGTCAATTGAAGTTACCTGAGGCTTTGTCTCATCAAAGTCAATTAAACGGAAAAGGAGCCAGGTGTCTGCAGAGGAGCAAAGCAGATCTGTGGGTAATGAAATAATGCGGGGGGTGGGGAGAAGTGTTGGGTGGGGAGGGGGTTGTCTTTTAAGACTGGTACAGTGAAGAGGTGTTAGAACGCCACTTGAGGACCAGATTCTCTGGGAGAGCAAAATTCTCAAGTCTGGTCAGAGAAGGGCTAGGCCAGGTCAGCGCATGTAAATGTCGAGGGGGGTTCCGCGAAGCCTCACGAATCGGCTCGCTGGGGTGGGGCCGCAAAGCCGCAAATCACCAGTGAGGGCCGGAGTGCGCGCCGCTCGCTCAGAGCCGCGCCAGCAGCTGCCGGGGCCGGAGCCAGAGC